AAAAAAATTTCAAAAAGCTCTTGTGCTCTATTGCAAGGTAGGGTGACTATAAATAATGGTAGCATAAAGTATATTTCCTTTTTTAAAAAGGATAAAGGATCTTAAATGTTTTCAGCATAAATAAAGTTTGAGAAGATATGTTCTCCCTGATAGGCTATTATACAATATATACATGTATCAAAACATCTCATGGAACCCCATAAATATGTACAATTTTTATGTGCAGTTGAAAGTTTTTATAAAACACTAAAATGTTAAAGCATAAAAAAATAAATAAGTTCTGCATTATTTTTTTATCATTCACCACAGAGTTTTTATTGCTTTTAGATGTTCTAGAAAGGAAAAGCTTTTAAATTCTTGTACTCTTAAGGCAAAGAAGAAACGTGTATACTATCTTCTGTAATGTTACACTGTACTTCTCAGCTCAGGCTCTTCCACAGTCAAACAATTACAATATTCTTAAATCATTTGACACTATTAAACTTCCTTCAGGATTTTTTCAAAATATTAAGCCCTAAAAGCCCAAGATCGAAAGCATTTAAGCACATGTACACATGCAAACAATATTGTCTTTCACAGTCAATATTTTCTACAAGAAAAATATCTAAATAATTAACTAATTTAATAATAACTCCATATGTATATACCAAAATACCAGAGTCCTCCACTTTCTCATTTACACCAAGTTTCCTCTTTCAGAGGCTTAAGTTGGGGCTTATGTTTGGACTCCAGAAAATATGTGAATACACTAAAGTCAGACACAAATTATGAATCTGCATTTGCAGGTTTATGATTCTTCTAACAGACTTTCAAAGATCCATGACTTTAAAAAACATTGGCTGTTAGACCAGAAAGTCTGAGACAGCTTCTTACTGCAAATGTCATAGAGTCTATCTAAGCCTGAGGAAAATATTGTCTGACTTTGTACAACTGAGTAAACAAGTAAATGCCTGTTATGAACCAGACATTATATTTGATCAGGGACTAGACAAACAAGTCTTGTGCCATCTGGTTTCATAAAGTTTTATTGGAACACAGCCATGTTCATTAGTCTATCAAATGCCTATGGCTGGTTTCTCACTACAAAGAGTAAAATACCTGGATCTGAAAATATGCAGAGGCTGGCACTGGGCAAAAAAGGTTAAAGCCCTGGTTTGTAGCACTGGCATCCTATATGTGCACCAGTTCGGATAACGGCTGTTTCACTCCCAATCCAGCTCTCTGCTGTGCCCTGAGAAGGCAGTGGAAGATGTCCCAAGTCCTTGGGCACCTGTACCTGCACGGGAGACCAGTACAGCTGTTATAGCCATCTGGGGAGTGAACCAGCGGATGGAAAAATCTCTCTCTCTGCCTCTACCTCTCTGTAACTCTGAGGGAGAGAAGGGTGGAGGGAGGGAAGAAAAGAAGAGAGGAGAAGAGAGGAGGGGAGAGGGGAGAGGAAGGAGGGGAGAGGGAAAAGGGAGGGAGGGAGGGAGGGAGGGAGGAAATGTGGAGCTAAAAATCCTAAAATATTTATTAACTGGCTATTTACTGAAAATGTTTGCTACCTCCCTGTGCGAGATGAAGATCGAAGTTGACTAAGTTACAACTTCTGACCAACAAAGTAAATAAATTTTAATTATATCCTAAGTATTCCCACTGAAATGTGTATGTGTGCACTGCATTGTAGACATACACATATTCTGAGTCAAGGAGTAAGGAGAAGAAAGAAAATGGAAGAGATTAAATCCAACAGCTTCCAAGAGGAAGCTAATACAACAAACATCAAATTTATCTCTGACCTCTCTAGCAAACAATACATTTTAAAAAAAATCAGTAACTTTTTAATAAGAAAAAAGTTAATTAAAACATACCCCAAAAAATTAAAGAATAATATCATTTAAGGCCATTTTAGAGGAAAGGCAGAAGCAGCCCACAAATCAGTTAATAATGTCTTTGATTAAAGTCAAAGGCTATATAACTCAGAGTACATAACTGAACATTCTATCTGACTTAGAAGTGTTCTCATTTTATACTGAGACAAAATGCATTGAAAACTGAGGAAAACATGAACAGATGGATAAATAAACAGCCTTAAATTCTCTCTAAATAAAAAATTATCATCAAATACTGTTGCTAAGCTCACATTGCAAATCATTTTATTTTTATCAGTAACAGAAAGTCTTGGCTTATATATCAATAATTTAAAGAAAATGTGAGGCCGGCACCGCGGCTCACTAGGCTAATCCTCCACCTTGCAACGCCAGCACACCGGGTTCTAGTCCCAGTCAGGGCGCCGGATTCGGTCCCGGTTGCCCCTCTTCCAGGCCAGCTCTCTGCTGTGGCCAGGGAGTGCAGTGGAGGATGGCCCAAGTACTTGGGCCCTGCACCCCATGGGAGACCAGGAGAAGTACCTGGCTCCTGCCATCGGATCAGCGCGGTGCGCCGGCTGTAGGGCGCCAGCCGCAGCGGCCATTGGAGGGTAAACCAATGGCAAAGGAAGACCTTTCTCTCTGTCTCTCTCTCTCACTGTCCACTCTGCCTGTCCAAAAAATTTTAAAAAAAATGTGTATGCTTCAAATCAGTTAAATTCAAAGTCGTTGGAATTTCTCCCAGTAAGAAATACTACTTCACAAGTATGAACAGGAACATGCACATACACAAGTTTCTAGAAATGTTATTTCACTACATGCTAATATGCTTCGAGAGTTTCTATTCTATGCCATACATTTTTTAAATATTTGCTATGACCCAGTAAATTGCTTTAGCAATGCTGTAATTGGTCAGGATCCACAGACTATTCTAGATACCAAGAAGCAAGATTGCAAAGATGTTAGAAACAGACTCATAAAGAAGCACGTATTCCTCATACAAATAAAGTAAATACCTGTCTACTGGTAACAGCAAAACTTTTATCAAAAATTATCGCTGTGGCCCGGGAGTGCAGTGGAGGATGGCCCAAGTGCCTGGGCCCTGCACCCGCATGGGAGACCAGGAGAAGCACCTGGCTCCTGGCTTCGGATCAGCACAGCACGCTGGCAGCAATGTGCAGGCCGTAGCGGCCACTTGGGGGGGTGAACCAATGGAAAAAGGAAGACCTTTCTCTCTGTCTCTCTCTCTGTCCACTCTGCCTGTCAAAAAAAAAAATGGTAGAGATACAGAGAGAAGGGAAGAGTGAGAGATCTTTCATCCACTGGTTTCACTACCCAAATAAACGCTACAGTGGAGCTGGGCCAGACCGAAGCCCAGGAAACAGGAGCTTCTTCTGGGTCTCCTATCTGGGTGCAGGGGCCCAAGTATTTGGGCCATCTCCTGCTCCTTTTCCAGGGACTCCGACTGGCACCCATATGGGATGCCAACACTGCAGGTGGAGGGTTAACCTTCTACACCACAGTGACATTCCTAGAAATAACTTTTAAAAAAGAATGAAGCTGGCACCGCGGCTCACTAGGCTAATCCTCCACCTTGCAACGCCAGCACACCGGGTTCTAGTCCCGGTCGGGGCGCCAGATTCGGTCCCGGTTGCCCCTCTTCCAGGCCAGCTCTCTGCTGTGGCCAGGGAGTGCAGTGGAGGATGGCCCAAGTACTTGGGCCCTGCACCCCATGGGAGACCAGGAGAAGTACCTGGCTCCTGCCATCGGATCAGCGCGGTGCGCCGGCTGTAGGGCGCCAGCCGCAGCGGCCATTGGAGGGTAAACCAATGGCAAAGGAAGACCTTTCTCTCTGTCTCTCTCTCTCACTGTCCACTCTGCCTGTCCAAAAAAAAAAAAAAAAAAAGAATGACAACTCATGGCTCTTTAGATTTTCGGTATGTATGTCAAGAATTATGTACAAATTGAAATGTGTGATGTGTGTACCGATTCTCAACACCAATAAAATCTCAATTATAGATAAAAAAAGAAAAAGAGGGAATCAGAGAAACAAAGAGATCAATACTTCTGTACTATGAACTAGTATAGGAAGTTCTGAGGAATAAAGAGATTATAAGGACTAGCCCAATATTTGGAGGAGTAAAGGGTTGCTTTAATATTACTTCTGAAATAAGTACAAGCTACAGGTTTAATTTACAATGTAATTTAATTCCCCAGGAATTTTTCCCAAGGAGTTAGTAAGTTTAAAAAATAAAAAAACTTGAAAATTCTGGAACTGTAACAGTACTCTAAAGCAGAACTGGAAATACTTTTTTCTGGCACCCTCTCCAGCTTGTAGCAATTAATCTATCCAAAGCCAGACACATTACCAAGGCCTATTAGGTCGAGTTCTGAAGAACACAAAGCAACAGCATACCATCACTGCGGCACTAGCCATCCATGTTCAAATGAACTGTAACTCAGAACATATATTAGAGAAAGCAGGCCCTACGAAATAGTGGACATAACTTTGGCCTCTGACAATAGATGGCACCAGAAGACTGTCAAAAATTAACTGGGTTAAAACCTTTAATAAACAAAATAAGCTTATGACCACGTCTATTACCTCACAAAATAGAAGTAACCAATAAGTAAAATCAAAAGAGAAGCGACTGGTAACTCTAATTGTAAGAAACGTAGTTAATAATGCTTTCGTCACAGAGCCAACAAGTAATGATCATTTTTTCCCCTCATTAACTATTTACCAAGGAACTGTTTTTTGCAAGCCACTGCTGCCCCAAGTGAATAAAAGCATCAAAAAATAAAACAGATAAAATATAAGGTCTCTCCTAGTTAGAAAATCCTGTGACTCAATTAGTGAATTTTAAAGTTTTCAGATACTCTGAACAATCTAGCATCCTTCATTTATCAAGATGCAAGGAGAAGGAACAGATCTTGAGTCTTGGCTTAGAGAGACTGTAAGAAACTCAAAGAACAGCTTACTGCAAAAAATGATCAAAATTTGAATGAAAGCCATTTGTGAAGGGTCTGGACACAACATGTTCTAAAGCTGCACAACATTAAAGAAGCCTGAAAATGCATATTCTACAAAGGACTAAAACAATGCTCAGTAACAACTGACATGCCTTTATCAATCCCACTGGAAGTTACCTGGTGGTAAATCAGGATCTGTAGGCGCAGCCTGCTGAATTCTTCGGGGTTTTATTGATGATTTTGTGCTCTCATTAACACTGCGGTTGGTGGAATTAGAACCACAGCTTTCATGGTCATCCTGTTTTTATTTTAAAGAAAGAAAAAGCAAAGCATCAATCACATTCAAGAACAAGGAAAAGCTTTATTCCCTATATGCAGTTTATGAGTACCCAAGGGAGGTAAAATAGACTTTCTAGTTTTTTAAGCTCTAAAAAACTATATAGGGGCCAGCACTGTGGCGTAGCGGGTAAAGCCACCAGCTGCAGTGCCAGCATCCCAGATGGGTGCTGGTTCCAGACCCAGTTGCTCCACTTCCAATCTAGCTCTCTGGCTATGACCTGGAGAGCAGTGCAGGATGGCCCAAGCTTTCTCAATTTGCATCCTCAAACATCATCTAAAACAGTTTAAAAATATAAATTCTTCATTTCTTCAGCTGGAATCACAATAAACTACTTGGTAATACCCTAAGAATAGTTGTGGTTAGAATTAAAAAAAAAAAAGGCTATCTGATGCAAGCTTTTAAGCAATTTGCGTATTTGAGTATAAAACAAATGAAAAGGGTCTCAAGGTTTTCCTTTATGTGTTGTTTATATGTTGAATTCCTCACTATTCTGTATCGAAGCTAAATTCTTAGTCATTTTTAAAAATCAATCTTAATCATCCTTACACTCAGATATATGGCTTAAGTGGATTTATTTTCATTTTATTCGAAAGACGGAGAAACACAGAGAAATCTTCCATCCACTTATTCACTCCTCAAATGCCTGCAAGTCTGGGGTTATCCAGGTTAAAGTCAGCAGCCTACAACTCTGCCTGGGTCTCCCATGTGGGAGGTAGAGACCGAAGTACTTCAGCATCACCTGCTGCTCCCATGATGCATATTAGCAGGAAGCTGGGTTAGAAGCAGAGGAGGACTCAAACCAGGCACTCGGATATCTTAACTGCTGTGTCAAACACCCACCCCAAAGGTTAAATTAGGTTTTGATAATGGATAACATAAATTTAAATCAAACATATTTTTTGAAATCCATCCCCTTATTTATAAAATGCAAATTAATATACTGTTCCTGTCCTGATTCAACATTTATATAAATGTTCTTATGTCCCAGTTGCTGAATTTACTACACTTAATTAGGTACAATGCCTGTTCCCAAGGATTTCCAAATTTATCAAACATACATACATAACTAGTTCTACAACAACAGCATATTTTTGGTTTGTTGCTAAGAAATAGTAATACAGTGTCATTCTATTTGGAAAAACAAGATAAGGTAAGCCTTAAAACCAAGTATATGGTCTCCAGGAGGACACCAAATGTTCAGTGCACCAGGAGGGCCCAGAGGCCCTGAAATGTGAAGTCACAGCTGTTTCGCAGTGGCTTGTGCAGTAGCACCTGGGTGTGAGCTTGCAGAGTCAAGGACAAGGAGTGGCTCCCAGACACCAAGCCAATCAGTCTACTCAATGACACAAAGATCAAGTCCCTAGAAGAGACCTATCCCTTCTCCATGCCCAATAAAAAATCTGAGATCACTGACTTTTTCCTAGAGGCATCCTTCAAGGTTGAAGTTTCTTTATTATTTCAGTGCCAAAGAAGTCCACGGTGGCCAACAGATGAGGTTCAAAGCATATTTTGCCAATGGGGTTATAATGATAAAGTCAAACTGGCTACTAAGTGCTCCAAGGAGGTAGTTACCAGCATCCTAGGGCTATCATCCCTGCCACATGTCTCCGCTGTGCCAGTGCAGAGAGGCTACTAAGAGAACAAGGTGTAAAGTCTCACACCATGGCTTGCAAGCTGACAGGCCACAGTGGCTCCTGCTGATGCACTCAGCCCCGCTCCCAGAGACTCTGGCATGCACTCAGCTCCTAAACCCCAAAAGATGCTGATGGTGGCTGGCATCCACAACTGCTATACCTTAGCCAGGGATAGCACTGCCACATTAGGCAACTCTTCCAAGGCCACCTGGACAATGACCTACAGTTATCTGAAACCTGACTTCTAGAAAAAGACTGTGTCCACCAAGACTCCCTATCAGGAATTCAATCTGACAGTCTTGTTAAGACCCACACCAAAGTCTCTGTGTAGGGGACCCAAACTCCAACTAGGTTTTTATACAAAGAAAATAAAATGAATTAAGCCTGTCTAAAAAAACAAAGAGTAGGAATGTTTTAGGTTAAGACTGGAGCCTAAATAGGAAGGAAAACCATAAGCAAAAACAAAATGATATAACTATAAATAGCACATACAAGGAATGATGATTGAGCAAATGAAGTCAGAGTATAAAAATGTTTAATGATAGAACAAAACCAGAAGGTTAAAGACAGGAACCGGTTCAGTAAAAATGGCATAGTAAGGGCCGGCGCCGCGGCTCACTAGGCTAATCCTCCGCCTAGCGGCGCCGGCACACCGGGTTCTAGTCCCGGTTGGGGCACCGGATTCTGTCCCGGTTGCCCCTCTTCCAGGCCAGCTCTCTGCTATGGCCAGGGAGTGCAGTGGAGGATGGCCCAGGTGCTTGGGCCCTGCACCCCATGGGAGACCAGGAAAAGCACCTGGCTCCTGGCTCCTGGCTCCTGCCATCGGATCAGCGCGGTGCGCCGGCCCGCAGCGCGCCGGCCACGGCGTCCATTTGGAGGGGTGAACCTTCGGCAAAAGGAAGACCTTTCTCTCTGTCTCTCTCTCTCTCTGTTCTCTCTTGTCTGTCAAATAATATAAAAATATAAATGGGCTAGATAGGCCCTATGAAGAAATTATCAGTCTTCGATCAAGTTGACCTGTTACATGATTTGATAATTAGAAGGAAGCTGCCAATATAAGGAAGAGAGGTCATAGTTCTAGTAAAGGGACAGGTGTGGGAACAGTAAATGAGTGAATGCCAAGTTAAAGTGGAATCAGTAAATACAGGTTGCTCATTTAGGGAAACAGGCAATTGAATGAGAAAATAGATGGGGTAGTAATGAAGGAAATGCATCTGGCAACTTACCACCTTTTTAAGAATAAAATAGGGGTAGGCATTGTGGCACAGCAGATAAAGTCGCCACCTGTGATGCTGGCATCCATATGGGTACTAGTTCATGTCCCAGTGCTCCACTTCTGATCAGCTCCCTGTTACCTGCCTGGGAAGAGCAGCAGATGGCGGCCCAAGTGTTTGGGCCCCTGCCACCCATGTGGGAAATACAGATGAAACTCCCTGGCTTTGGCCTAGCCCAGTGCTGGCTGTTGCAGCCATCTGGAGAGTGAACCAGTGGACAGAAGATCTCTCTCTCTCTGTGTCTCTTCATCTAAGTCTGACTTTCAAAATAAATCTTAAAAAATAAATATAATACCATATTTATGCTGGAAAAAAGATGGAGATGTGGAATGGGAGCACAAACGTACCTACACAAAGGGTAACTAACAGTGCGCTGTGCACCATTAATTCCATTAATCAATAACACCACTTTATAATATTTATAACGAAGTCAAATTTAGTTCTTTTATATTAGAGCAAATAAAAAGAATATTAAATTTCCTAATCTGATACTACAGGCTAGTAAGAACAATGATAAAACCCAATTAAAAACCAAAAATTCTATCCAGCACCATATTACAAAATAAACAATAAAAGGTGAAATCCCATACTGCATATGGCTTCAGATGCTGTTATACACTGGGGGAAAAAAAACTTGAAACTGAATACAAGCAAAAAGTAAAATATTTAATATCATAAACAAAGAAATTTTTCACATGAACTTATGTTCATTTTAAGTTATTGCAAAACAAACATCAGAGTTTCATTCCACAAAACAATTTCATTATTCAATCTTTTGATTATATTTTCTGTTATTTGAGGAATGAGATAGTTTTTAAGTATTAAAGGACTACTACTGTGAATAAAACTTTACTGTAATTACTTCTAGTTGAACTTATTTCCATAGAAATATTTGTGGTCATACACTTCTGCACGTTAACATTAAAAGCACACTATTAATTTTTAAAACATGTGGTTGCTTTGCTCAAAAGTCCAGAAGTAAAACATGTTCATTAAAGAGATGTGAAAAAGTTCCAAGTGAACTGCCAAAACTAGCATAATTATGAAAGCATTTGACACTGAAACCAACTGAAATCACATACTGTATATAGATTACAGTGATGTCATAATAAACATTCCAGCCAAAATGCACTGAAACTACAGCAGTCTAATAAATCTGGCATACATAAGATGACAAACATTTTACAGCAAAAGAAGGAATATGTTATTTTTGTTTGATTTTTTAAAAGTTATTACCAGCAAAAAAGGGTAAGGTAGACTAAATATGAGTTTTCAAGTTAAAAAAAAAAAAGTGAATAAAGCTTCTTCGACAAGCTACACATTTTTATTATTCCAAAGAAAATATCTGGAAATTATTTGCTGAAACAAAATTTATAATAAACCTGAAATTCTGGTATAGTTACAAAATTAGCATTATTTAGGGCACTCATAAGAATATACACCAACAAATAAACATTATCAAATGTGTAAACCTTTCTTAATCACAGTTGAGAAATTACTACCACATCTATTTACCAAAAAATTCTTTTGATGATATGAATTTGTTTTCATTTAATTACATTTTAATTCTATCCATCACAAGTAAGCTTCAATTCAAATCCTGTCCAGCGTTGTGATATAGTGGATAAAGCCACCACATGCAGCACTGGCACCATATGGGTGCCGGTTCAGGTCCCAGCTGCTCCACTTCCGATCCAGCTCCCTGCTAGTATGCCTGGGAGAGCAGTAGAGGATGGCACAAGTGGTTGGGCCCCTGCATCCACATGGGAGACCCAGAAGAAGCCCCTGGCTCCTGGTTTCAGATCAGCCCAGTTCTGGCCAGCTGTCGCAGCCATTTGAGGAGTGAACCCGCAGATGAAAGTATCTCTCCCCTCTCTCTGTCTCTCTCTCTCTCTCTAACTCTGCCTTTCAGATAAATAAATCTTTTAAAAAATAAAGTAAAATAAGATTATAATATTTACCACTTAAACTAGAATTACTTATATCATTGGTTTTGAACTCATCTTCTTTCAGCCAGCAGGTACCATTTTGGACTATTATACATTTTTCC